AGAAGCTGTGCAAGAAGATAATGATGTTCTCAGTCAGCACAAGGCACACTGGCTAGTAACAGAAGATAAGAGTATTTGTCTTCAGAAGTACCTTTTTATTTTAGTGTTAAGTATATTATCAAATTCAAAGGCTTTCTTTTCTGAAAGATATTATTGTTAAACCTCACACGCTTTTTAGGTTGCATCTATAGCAGACTATACTACTGCATTAATGCCAAGCTGTAATTCAATTAGGACTTTAAATTTACCTTCAATTTATATATATGCTTTTTTGGCCAAGGCAAGTGGGGGTTGTAAAGCAGCATGAATGTTAGAACATCCCGAAACACTTAACCTAAGGTCTGCCCTGCTAACCTACCTCTTTCAGAGAGTTAAAGACAATTACAGACAATTACAATTATGCAACTTAGGCATAATTTCAGACATGTCAGGGATAAGCACATTGCTTGCCTGTACTGATTCCAGAAGACTGATCACCTCTAAATCTAGCTGACCTGGAAGCTAGAAAGTCTCGGAAGCAGAGCAAGGTAGGACAATTCACATTAATACCTACTAAAAGAAAAGAAAGTTACCACAGATATGTCGTTTTAATCAAATTTTGAAACGGTTCTGAATAGTTGAAATAATAAAACCAGACATCAAGCCTGGTTCCATATCAAAGGCTGCAAGAGATTCAGTTCCAGAACACCCACTGAGCAGAAAAAAAATGCAGCACACAGTCATCAAACAAAACCTGCATATATATTTGCAGAATGATTTCTGAGGAAGTTCCGAGGACAGCCTTCAGGTCAAACACTTACTTTTAAGAGAAATTATATGTAACAATGGTTCAGATTCAAGGACTTGGTTATAACTGCACATGCAACTAAGTCTGAACATATTAAGGCATTACTGTATTACTTCATTTTTCTCAGCAGTGGCTTGTGCTAGCTGGCATTTTAAACGGACATGAGTTTTGTAATCAATGAATCTCAGCTGACAGACAGTAACACTTAGTATTCAAATCCAACTGCAAGAACACATCCAACTAGCTTATGTCATCCATTAAACCCTCCAAAAAGAACATATTACAGGTACAATACAGATACATTATTTTCAGCTACTAAAAAGTGGTACAAGATAAAACAATTCACTGGGACCTCCTAATTAATTGCTTATTTTTAATCACAACTAACCAGGCACTGGCATATATCAACAAAAAAAATTAAAAGGTTAAAAATAGTGTACAGTTTAGCACAGAAGACAACATTTGAATAGAAGCACATCATTTTAATTTGCTCTGAAGTTTAAAGCAATCCAAACAAAAAAGTGAACTTTATAAATACAGAGTAAATGCACACAGTTCACAGCCAGCTACATGTACAGGAGAATAATAGCAAACCTCACATGACCACTGAAGTATTCTCAAACTGTCATCTGAGTGTTTAGCTATGACTCTGATGGCATAATTACGTTCACATATGCAGGGTAGGCAGACTCTTAAACAGAAGAGCCAAAAACTTATAACTGAGTCTTAACAGACAAAGTTGAAAAAAAAAGTACATTTACCTAGGCACACTTCAGTGTTCAGCTTGTTTTCCAAATTTAAATAGTTTAAACAGGAAGCAACATTTGTAAAGGCTCTGCAATCTTTTGTCTCTGGAAGCATTCTTTTAAATCACTACAGTCCAAGGAATGTTACAAATGTCATTACAAGAACAAAAACAGAATAGCAGAAACTGTCATTAACAAACATCTCAATCAGAAAGGAAATGCATGGAGTGCATTATGTAAACAGGGAATAGACAGGTGCAATGTCAATGTATAATTGGACAGGCTGATGTTTCAGTTACAACTGAAATAACAAAAAATCTCCATAAATCCCTAGTGTAAACCTACTTAAAACAACTAGATTAACTAGCAGATCAGAAATTCAGACAGAAGAGCAGATCTATCAGTCAGCTGAAGGCTGGGCTCAGCTCTCTGCAACTCACAACTTGCCTGTTTTCACACAGCACTACAGGGACCAAACGGGTAATGGGGGGGCTGTGAAATGGGACTGCAGTTACTGAAATTTTTTTTATGGCTTTCCCAACTCAGGCCATGTCCCCCCAGTATGCCACAGACACTCGGTGACCACCCCGAGAGCGCCAGGCCCTGGCAGAGGAGCCCTTTCCCCCCATCACTGCGTGCTCCAGAGCCATCTTCCGACTGGTTCAGCAAACTGCAGTCTCAGTGTTTCCCAAACCTAACTCTTTGCCGAGTCAAGATCAACAGCTTGCAATAGCTTTTAGGCTAGGGAAATATGAGGAAAGTAATTAATTACTGAGCGTTTTTCAGACATTCAAGATCTTTGCCACGAACACAGGAAAATGTGACATAAATACACTACAGTCAAATACAAACCAAAATGACCATCTAAGTTACAAGAAAGTTTAAATGCACTCCTTTTAGTTCTGTAGTTAAGGATATCACTGATGTAGCATCTTCATATTCCCTTTGAGTTTTTATAATAAATATCAAAAAACCTACATAAAGATCTTTGGGAAGTATGTCAGACGTAACCTTGTACATACTGGTAGTTTAGAAATTAAAAAAAAAAAATCACAAGAAACTTTGGGTTTATGTTTTGATTTGTAAAGCAAGCCAAAAAGAAGATCACCCCTGAAGTTTAAAACATTGTTTAAACACCCAGTAAAAAGGTGGAATAATAACCTGATTGTCTGTTTTTAGCTGTTGTCTCCCACATTGAATTGCCCTTTTTAACATTTTTCTACTCAACTCCAGGGGGTCTGTTTTCACCCAGACATTCAGGTGCTAGCAGTCAATTAATGGGAGATGACCATGTAACCAAGGGAGAATGTATCCAATAAACAGAGGAAAGTAACTCTCATGAAGCCTAGCCTCATCCAAGTGTTAGTTGTAGTCACGAACTCCAAAGCTGAATATTGTATTTGCCAATTTAAGTTTTGGGTATGACTGAATAATCTAGACAGCCTGAAGAGTAATTCACTTTCTACAGAACAAAAATTACAGTGAGTCTACTCCTGCACTTAGTTATCTGAACAATGGCATCCCAGCAAGATTTAGGTCAGAGTCATGAATACTCCGGTCTTTTCTTAAGGAGATCAGTAGAAAACAAACCCCACTTTAGAACATACATTTATGCACTCCCCTTAATTCTTGAAACCAATCAAGTTCACCTTTAGTCACATCACAGACCATGTCTTTAAAAAGGAGAGATAAGATTTTCCAAGGAGAAGAAAGTCAATACAGCTAAGCCTCCACTGCAAGGTTGCTGTATGTACTATAGATGGCACTACAGAGAATTACATGAAGTATTCCAATACTTTGACACTGTGTGGAGAATATGAAAAATATCAAAATAAAGGAAAACAAATGAGAAAAAACTCAGACTTACTGCTCTGTAAGCTTTGAGCTTTTCCATACAGCCTACAGAACTACTGCAACAGAGATCATATGGATTTATGGCATAAAATGCTTTATCCTACACAGCTAACACAGAAATAAAACCACATGCTTGGTTTAAAACCAAACTGCATGTTTTGAACACAGTTTGACTACAGATAACCAATAAGAGGAAGAAAAGTCACAAGCCATAAGAAGGCTGCAAAGTGCATAAGAAGTCATTCATAAAATAAAGCCATTGCACACAACGCACAGTTTCAGTGTACGTAAGTACCACACTGGAAGAGTTGATAGCACAGTTCCATCCACACCAGTGTAGCAGCATGTATATGTAGAAAGCTATTGCCCCAAATGTATAATTAACATCTTCCTCATAAGGATCATGGATGCAGACTGAGAAGTACTCAAGGTTCAGATACAACATTTCTGTTTGGAAAGTTGTACAAATTCCTGGAACATTAAAACTTCTGATTTTGACACTCCAACTGTATGGTTTTGGAAAACCCTGTAAATTACGACAGAATAAACTAGCTAAGCCTCGCTGCTAAATGCAACACATTGTTTTGCAATTGGCTTATAGAACAATAAAAAACAATGCCTGAACACAGACAATTTGGAGGACAAGGTTATACTGTCAGCTGCAGTTCCGCATACAGGCTTAAGTTGGAAGAAGGGGTACAGCAATTAAGCTTAGACAAAAATCTCCATTACAATGTTCTCCACCATTCTGTACAGAGGCTGTCTGCACTGAAAAGATGTATCAGAACTTCAGCTAGCTGTTTTCTGCTTTGCGGTTGCCTTAGCCATGGTGATGTGTTCTCCCCCTTGTACTCCCATACAGATACTGGTACTCCAAGTCAGCCTTTGTCAGACATTTTGGGGTAATACAGCTTGTTCTTAGGGAGCAAGAAACTTGAGTGAATCCTGTCTTCACAAATGGTAAGCTGAGACTTCTAATCCCATTAATAAACTTTAAAAAGGCTACGAAGTAGTATTCAGCACATTCTTCCTTAGCTATGTGAGTGACCTGACAGGTTGGCAAGCAAAATACAGGACAATGTTTCATAGGTCTCTCTTGCTTAAGGAAGGAAAGCTCCAGAAAAAAAAAAAAAAAGGATGATGCAGCAAAACTAGAACTCCACATACATCAACACTGAGAGACTGATAACCTGAAGAGTTTAACAATCAGATCCTTTCACTAACCTAAAACACTGCTCAAACTGCAAAGGAAAAAACAAGTATCACCTTTCATAGTGAAGAAATAACTGTTCTGGGTCCCTGCACCATATTTTGTCTTGAGGTAGCAACATGGAAAACTTACACACTGACTACTACCTCAGTCTCTATGAATCTTCAGAGCAACTGAATGGAAGTTTCAGGTACGGGAAGGTATGAAAGTACTGTCTTCCCCATTCTTCCAACAGGTTACTGTGCAGTAAAATAGAATAAAAAGGCTGTAATTGAGAGCAATTACTAAGGGAAGTGAATATGGCTGCCCAACAGTATATTTTATGCCCCCTCCCTCACCCATCAGGTCTCTGAAGATGACTGAATGACCTTGTCTAGACTAACAAATGAATAGAAAGGAACAATTTTGAATTAAGAGATGTATAAAGGCATTCCCTAAGGGGCAGCTCCCATTTGTCACATTGCCAAGAGACCATACAATAAGGCAACAAAATTATTCATAGTTGCCCACAATCAACCTTGTGTTTTGTCCATAGCTGCGTGTTCCTGATAAAACTTTCCTTTTGCCCACCACACTGGCACTGACATTCAGTGGTCCACTCCAGTCTTTCCATCTTTCAGTTTCTTCTACGAAGCCTTGTCACGCTGCTATCCATTGAGCAAGTAGACTACCACTTCATAGGTTGACATCATGATAGCCGTGTTTGGAATCTGTCTGACCAGATGCGTAGTTAAACCTCGGTAGAGGGAGCCATACCCTTCTTCTCGCACAAGCAAAGACAGTGTCTGGAAGAAAGATCTGTATTTTGTTCCCTCTTCTCTTAGTCTTGTTCGTACAACCTCTGTACAAAGAAAACCACATGTGGTTACGTTCACCGCTTTTCATTACCTTTCCCAGAAATCAATTGGTGATTTTACATTAAAAGGCAACCTTTCCCCCTCACCATGTTCTCAATCTCAGAAGAACTCTTTAAAAAAGGAGGAGGAAGACAAACAGAGAAGAGAAGCAAACCAAGTATGTGTAAGAAGAAAACAAATTCAATTTTTGGCAGTATTACATATCTAAGCAAGAAAGTTCATTTGCTTAGTTGAAATCTAGAAGACAGCTGTTGTTTGGGCTAATGTTTCAGCTCAGAAGTTGCCACTAATGAAATAATCTATTAATACACTTAATGTATACACAACTACCTTGCAGAAAAATTAAGTGCAACTGAAAGCCAAACTAGACAGCCTGTTTTCCTACAAGGGGGATAAGAACTTGCTAGCAAATTATGTGAAATTGCTGAGTATACAGAGAGATTTCACGTGAAAAGTACCTTGCCTCAAGTACTTTGGGCCATACCCTGGCAAATCCTTTGGAAAAAATAAACATTGCCTAGAAAGAGGCCATGCTAGATAGCCACTTAAATATACTTTAATTTCTGAATACTATACTCACGTTGACTCACTGAATCTGTCATGAAAAGCTTTATACAAAGAAACAGTTCTTGAGCAAGTGAGCCAAAGTCTGCTACAACTATCACTGAAAAGCCTCCCTTTGATCACTGTGATTCAGGCTCTCAGCTGTACATGCCCCACTTACCATGGGGATATGCTATTGATGTTGCACAAGTTTTAGAAGTGGCAGCAGCCATCATCATTCCAGCAAAGTCTGAAGCTTCTTTTGCCGATTCACCCTCATTGTCCATGGCAGAAGAAGTCTTATATTCCAGTAGTCTTCTCTTAATACTCTCATAAATAACAAAATGAATAACAGTCTCAGATATGCCTGCATAGGATGCTGACATTCCTCTGTAAAAGCCTTTAATACCATCTGATCGATAAACTTTTCGGACACATTCAAAAGCACTCATTCGCTTTTCTCCACGATTCCTAAAAAGGAGAGAGCAAGACAGATATCAAGCTGGTGCAACCTGAGACTGGGAAATAATTAAACAGTTTTGCCTGAGTGACAAGAAGACTTAGGAAATATCTCCCACTCATGCTGGGTGGCTCTAATTCAGATACATTTAAGAAAACGCAGAACCTGAAGTCTCAAAGGCTTTCAGCACTAACACAGGTAAAGCATTACACTGAACCCAAGCCAAACTTCACATGGTGACTAAAGGAAATGTATCACATAGACAAATTAAACAGCTCTAGGACTCCAAGTCTCACAGAATAAAGGACTAAATTGCTTGAGAACAGACTCCCAAATAAACTCTCAGTGTCAGTGATTCATGAAAAAAAGACCATTTTCTTCTGAGAGTGGATTTCCCCTAAATTTTGCCTCAAATTAACAGCTCCATAGCATTGCAATTACAGTGTCTGCGAGTTTGAACAGCAGGCCTCACATCATCACAGCTACCAGGAAACAACTAGGATAGCCAAAGGGAACATACCAACATAACACAGGAAGCTATTATTTGATTCAACTAAGGCACTGCTGATGTCAAGGAAAGTGCTCCTTAGACATGACTGTATCAAGCAATATATGGTAAATAAAATCTTATTCCCATTTTTAGCTTGCTTACTGAATTGAGTCGCACAAACTGAAATACTTAGCATACTGTACACAGCTATGGAAAACCATTACAGCACTGCACAGAACACACTTGACTGCAGCAAGCAAGCATAGGCACTGGAAGCAGATGGATTCTGCCAGCAGAGGTCTCCGGAGTGAGCAAGTCACAGAATGAAACAGCAAATAAGCTTGTAAAAAGTTACGGTAACTCATACGGATACCGCCAAAGCAAGACAGAGGGTGGCAGCAGCTATTACATAAGCAGTATGAGGCATCACTTGATGGCAGAATGGAAGTCCTGACGGTCTGAACCTGCAACATCAGACAGCAATGACACAAGGCACCAAGCACAATTATGAGAAAGTGTGGGCACACAGCTGTGAATCAGATCTTGAGTAAGCCAGGTGGGAGATGCTGCAAAGAAGTCAGGGGCTGGCACTAAGCTGCTGACAGGCAAGAGAAGAATCAAAGAAGTGGTGAGAAGAGCAGCTGGACCTACAGTTGCAGCTCCACGGACATCCCTGTCCCCATATGTCCCTGGTACACCAGGACAGGCGCACTGACACAGACTGCTGTAAGAGTTTGTTCTTCTGATGTGCAAGATGCACAAGTGTCTTGAAGGCCAAAGCAATTTCACTTTGGAAACAAAAAACATGCCTTCTCCAGCTCTTACTGGGATCAGAGGTTTTTTTGAGAACTTCAATGGAAACAAAATCAGGCCAGGATAATCCCACAGGCCAAGTAGCCCACATAATTGCAGTGTCCTACCCAAAGTCAGAATACCCTTCTTCAGGTCTCCCACATGAACAAGGTGCTTGACATGATGTACAGAAATCATGTGCACAAGACATCCATAATTTTCCCTCATTTCTCTAAAACCCTATTGTCCTGGGTCCAGCTGGGATAG